TCTTGCACGAAATTTTTACTGCGCAATCAATACTAAGAACATTAGGACTGCCGGGCTATCAGTGTGGGCATCCCACATTAACGATTTCACTGAAATGCTCCCAAACGCCGACCACAGCAATGCCATGCCCCTCGATCCTGAGCTGCATATCTCCAGTTGATACCTACCGCCTGCCCAACGTATGGGCACCATCGTTTCAGAAATCACCCGAGTGATGGTTTGCTTTTTAGTGGGTACCATTCATTAGTGCATGATGTCCACCAATTGTCGAAAAGGCGAGCAGCATGCCCTACCTGTCGGATTTTACTTTCTAGCATATTCATTCAATATGAAATAAAAATTGCCATCCATACCCTTCCCTCTGTAATAAAACTCTTTTCGAGCATTCAGATTCCCTCCTCAAAAGTCAGTGCGCTAATATAACTAACTGGCATTATTATTGTAAATATTATGATTATCGAGGATAAAAAAACTATTTCTAACATAGAAATTGCTCCGAATTTTCCAAAAATTTTCAGAATTTTCAAAACAAGCACAGGGTTAAACCGTACTCCACATATTCAACTCTTTATGGGACAAGAAAACTTTTGAAAATGACTCAACAGATAAAAATTTTTCAATAGCAAACATCAACCGAAATCGATATAAAGAGCGAATAAACTTACCGATCATATTCTTGTTCTAAATAACCACTAAAAATCCATGATGCAACAGCATTTGGGCTCAACAATGACATCCGAAGCATTTTGGTGATAAGCACAACAATCATCTAAAAAAAAGGATTGTTCTGGAATTTTTTGTTAAAGAAAATTTTGAAAATCTTACTCCTACTAGAGGATTGTACCACTTGTTTCAGGAACAGAATAACAGCAACAATCAAACAGACTGAACGTAAAGACCTATGTATTTGACAGCAAAACATGAAAAGAGCAACTGTCACGCACGGCAGGTGACAGTAAGTTGAAGGACATTTCCAAAAAGTAATGCAGTTTCGATCTGATGTAAGCAATATTATCCAAAGCAACGTAACCCAGGAAGAATTGGGCTGGTCACTGAAAGACAGCAGATGGATAAAGCTGATTATTAAATACTGCTCATGGAGTATCGAAAGA